CGAAAAAGACATAATCGAATGTAGGTACCTACACCTAAGTTATAAAAAGGTTTAAAAGATTACCTGTAAGTTAGCTTCAGCCCCAGGGCTGGAATTGTCGCTTTCGACAGGCTTGTTGAGAAGAACGTTTAGTTCCTCCTCTGTTGGCTCCTCAATGATCACTGGGGGTGGCCTGGGCTTTCTCCCAGCAACCTTTATTCTAAATGTTCGACCTTCAGGAGCAGGAGCAGGAACAAAAGCGTCCTTCGTCAACTTTCGCCTTTTTAGAGGAGCAGGAGGAGAATCACTTTCTTCATCGCTCCTAGATTCGACCACCAGTGCTGGCCGTTTCTTGGGCGAAGGTGCCTAAAAGACCAATGGGATTCGACTTAGCAATTGTATCGAAAGTCAAAAATCGAAAGCCAGAAAAAAAAAAATGAAAGTCTGGTTACCGATACAGAAGGCTTCTTCGAAGGGCCTTCCCCCTGTTGGTTGGTGGTAGTCTTCGCCGGCGCTGTAGTCTTCGCCGGCGGTGGAGGTTTTGTTGAAGGGCCTCCTCCCTGTTGGCCTTCTGTAGCCTTCTTGGCTACAGGCTTTCGAACAACTGAAAGCAAATAAAAAGTTAACAGGCTAGCAGTCGAAAAGAAAGACAAAGTAATGTAAAAGGATGAACTTACATTTCTTTATTTTGTCCAACACGAGGACAAAAGATTTCTGAAGCTCATCCACGAAGTCCTTCTCGTCGAAAAACTCCTCAGCGTAATAACTTTTCCACCACTCCTCGAAGGATGGTGAGCAAAGAAAGTTGAGCTGGTAGTCAAACAACGAGAGAACTGTTCGACCAGCATATCTTCCGATATGCTTAATGGCAGCTTCTTCGGTGTAATCATTGCAGAAGTACAACATGGACTTCTCTCTTGGAAAAATGGGAGAAGGTAGGGTTTGAATAATACCAAACTGGCGAGATACCAGGTTTGGTTGGTATGCAATCAGACTCAGATGAGTCTTAGAGCTCCTGAATCGAAGAGGCATGATCCTTGGTGTAAGGAACGCCTCCCATATTATTGTATGTTCGTCAACATTAGGACCACTCGACGTCCTTGGATGTGGCCTTGTGAACCATGCTGGGCCTACCTTCCGTCGAGCGAATGGAGCCATAGTTGAAGCAAACTCCTTCCTTCGAGCAAACATCAGAACGAAGTTGGTGAAGGTTTGCTGAAACTCCAGTCCATCTTCCATAGGCGTCAACAGAGCCAGTCTGGTTCCTTCGACGCGTCTGTTCGCTATCTCTGGAGCCTGCTCGTTTATTTGAACCTTCTTAGGCAAGAAAGATTCGAAGGTGGCATTGAGCCACAGTTGGAGCAGCCAAAAAGGCCCAGCAAGTAGAAAACTGGCCCTGTTCTCGATAATTTTTAGAAGAGTGGCCCCATTACTAATCAAATCATAGAGGCTAGCCAGAATCAACTCTACCAAACAGACATTCTGGCCATGATGCAGTTGAGTGGCGAGAGTGACCATTTTCTTGGTCACTTGTAGGGACTTCGAGCAAAATACAAAGCGAGTCAGCCATAAGGCCAGAAACGCTATGTGTTCGACATCCGACACAGTATCTGTCGACCTGTCATGATAGTGGTTGATGAAAGTGGTGTATGTTGGTTTGGTGTCAGAGAAGCCAATTTGATCCTCCGACATCTCCTCCGGATCGAAGTAGTCCCCGGTGGGTCGAAGGCCAGTAATAGCGGCCACATCGAAGAGTGTAGGAGTCAACATCCCACAGGGAAGATGGAAAGTAAAGTGGGAGTAGTCCCAGAAAAGCAGAGAAGCTATCAACATCTCCGGAGAATAGTTCAAACCTGTCTTCGACAGCATCACCAGGTCGAAGATCCCCATCTTTTTCCAGATCGAAGCTTGGCACTTCTCCATCTTTTCCAGCCAAGCAACGTAATCAGGAGTCAGGCTAGGGCCAGACCTGAAGGCCCTAACACCTCTGTTGAAGAAGCGGAGGTCGATTTTTTCGTGCGCAGGGTCCTCATTATCTTCAGCATCCTTCTTGGCGCATGCAACCGGTTTGAGTTTCTCAACTACCGGAAAATAGCTCTTAATCTTCATGGCCTCAGCAATACTGGGATACAAGGGGCCAGACATAGCAAAGATCTGGTTGGAGTATCCAACCGGGATCATAAGGTGATGTGAGTAAGCGTCACGTACGGCGATGTCCAAGGGTTCAGGAACCCTTCGTTGGCCCGTAGCAGTTACCACTGGAGCGGTGACGAAAATCTTAGGTTTGGCGTTTCCAGTTGGTGCGGTAGCACTAGGAGCAGTGGAACCAGATGCCATTGTTAGTGTTGAGTTTGAAATGAGGTTGAAGACAAAGTGAAGGAGGAAAAGTTTCTGCAAAGATAACAAGTTTGTATGAAGATAGAGAAGTCTGAAAGCTAGATGGCGTAAAAAGTCCCACAATGGGGTACTTACTGCTATTTATAGTAGTGGGGGGAAATCCCCAAAAACGAGGACATTAAATGCCATTTAATGCTGCAGGAGATAGTGGGACGCGTGGCAGCCCCCTGTTGTTTTAGCCGTTCTGCAGAAATAGAGGGACGCAGCGTGCGTCCTCGTTTTTGGGAATTGTCATAATGACAAATTCTGAAATGATGTTTGGTACTGCACGCCGTACTGACATGACGTCTTAGGTACGGATAAATGATGGTTTTCTTGGGATTGCCAATGGTTGGTAGAAAACAACAAAAAGTGCACAAGTTAATTTGTGACTAAGTGTGAAAGTACAGGTGTCGAATGGCGTTTCAAAGAATGCCTTTTTCTTTCAGAGTCGAAATAAGGCATTCTTGGGGGGCAATTTGTTGGCTCCTAAATTCGACACCCTTGTTTTATTAATGTCAGCCATTAAAGCTGAAAGATGTTTTCGACTGGCTAAGTCTGTCGAAAGGCCCGTCGAAAGATGGCAAAGTACTTAGAAGATTTCTTCCAAGGGAGAAGTTGGTTGCCTTCGACGTCGAAGGAGTTTCTCGTCGAAGATGTCTCTTGACGAAGGTGTTCGATGGTTCAGAATGGAGCAGTTTGAAATTCAAGCTTTTGGAGGGAAAACGGTTTCCAGCAGTTACCAAGTGCAACGTGCAAAGATCTGGAGCGTCGAACGTTGAGAACGTGCCAAGTGGATTGATCTCGAAGCAGTGTAACTGCCCGACGGTTACTTGGGATGTTTTAGTATAAATAATAGTAGTCATGTAGTTTCTCGCGTGTGTTCACAATTCTATACAAAGTCACTCATATAGATTCGAGTACCCAGCGTGTGAGAAAGAATTGTTGAGAAATGTATGTGTGAAACACCAATTTTATTAATCAAAGTCATTTACTTTTCCAGAAATTTACTTGCTTTCTCCTTTACATTCCTGTCGAAACCTTTTATTTTAAGCCTTGTTTATTTTACCAAGTCTTTCCTTCATGCAATTTACTTGAAACCTCTTTATTTAAAGCCTTATCCAATTTAATCAAACTTCAAAATCAACCTATGTCCTAGGATCAATCTGATCGATCCTGCGAGTAACCAAATAAGTAACCATTTGGAGGATCAGCGGTTGTTTACCAAATCCCAAGGTAAACACATAGTGAGTAGATTCATGGAGGAGCCAGTACACACACATTGGAAGGCGCTGAAACGAATTCTAAGATACATCCAAGGAACAGTATCACTTGGGATGTTCTATTCAAAGACAGAAAATTACAAGTTAGCTGGTTATTCTGACAGTGACTGGTGTGGAGACATAGACGATCGAAAGAGCACTGCTGGATATGTGTTTTTCATGGGAAACACAACTTTTACATGGCTATCGAAGAAGCAGCCTATAGTGACACTTTCGACGTGTGAAGCAGAATATGTGGCAGCATCCTGGTGCGTCTGTCATGCAGTATGGCTCAGAAGGTTGATAAGCAAGATGGAGCTGAAACAGGAAGGTCCAACAATAATAAAAGTGGACAATAAATCAGCTATTGAATTGGCAAAGAATCCAGTGAATCATGAACGAAGCAAACATATAGACATTCGATTTCACTTCATTCGTGAACATGTGAAGGAGGGAAGCGTCGAACTAAGGCATGTAGCAAGTAGAAACCAAGCAGCAGATATCTTCACAAAACCACTATCAAAAGAAGTATTCGAAAGAGGCAAGAAGATGATTGGGATGCTGGATCGAAGAAGCATTTAAAGTTTAAAGAGGAGTTTTGTTGAATAAACATTAAATGTGTTAGAAATAAAAGCTTTACATCAAGTATGGTAGTAGAAAGGGCAATAGTTTTTATTAGTTATGATAGTAGCAGTTATGTTTTGAATTTATGTTTTAGAATTGTAAAAGTTTATTTGGGTCTATAAAAGACCAAGTGTGTAATTTATTTATCAAGAGCAATATACAGAAGTTGATTGATTCGAAGTCTGATTCATAAAATATAACATAATACATCAAGCTCTGAAAACCACGAACAAGTGCTCATGCCAATGTAGTATCCATTGAGAAGCTTGAACATTTCAAAGATACTATGGAAGTTACAATGAAGAGAGGATGTTAAATAATAACTTGCAATTTTTCATATTGCTAGGTTCATGTATCGATCTACAAGTCCACTCATATATGATTTAAGTACCAGAGGAGTCAAATAACATTTGTAATGCATCCTTTCTTAAGAGGATACAAATCTGCATCCTTTCTAGTATATAGTGTAGTATTATTCTGTGCATATGACATTGTGCAGTTGTGTTAAAATACAAGGAAGTTGACAGAGTTTACTAGTAACAAAGAAAACATCATTTGATATTGTTGTCTTGATCATACATGGTTAACCAGAGAAAATGCCAAGGTCTTGTACTACTAGAATTTGAAGCTATTGCTGCTTTCACTAATTTGATTTTCTTTTTTCAAATTAAATTCAATAACCCATTACACAATTGCACCAATAGCATTGTTGTCAATCAATTTTTTTGAACTCTAAGAATCAATGTAACTAAAAGAATCTCATACTTCATCGCCATTCCAATTATTCTTTGCCTTTGGACCTGTTGGTCCTTCCTCTGCAAGCACTTCTTTTGGTAATCCCCTAATAATACTTTCAAACCCATCTTTTAACTTCCCTGGCAATAACTTCTCCACATTCTTCAACTCATCATCTATACTATAATCAACATGTGGACCCCACCCTCTAAAAAAATTCAACCATGCTGGCTCTTTAACAGATCCTAAATAATCTGCAGAAACCAACACAAATTTTCCCATATCCATAACATTTCTACCTTTATTAGTATCATCTCTTGCCCCAACACCATTTTTTCCTAGCAGAACAAGACCAGCATGTGGATATGTTGCATGGCCATGCAAAGAAGCATAAACAACCGGTCTTTTTGTTGTATCAAACTCAAGTTGAGATGAATCAATCCATGAACCACTACCATGCTGTGAGAAATACACATGCCATAACTTACCGTCCAAGTTACTTACCCTTAATGTAACATGCTCCCAATCACCAACATGTTCGCCTATTTTCCCTAATTTAATATCTAGAAACTTTACTTTTGCTCTTCCAGGTCCGTTGAAAGGGTAAAATATCCACATTGCAATATCAGTGAATGTTCCTCCAGATATTGGTTTCACATGTACATAAGATTCCGCGCTTTGTAAATTTCCTTTTTTGACTCTTTCTTTGTTTGCATTATCAGCAGGTAGGTCTAGCCAATAGGCACCATCAATGTTAGGATCCTGAGGAAGGTTAGTACCATTTTGTTCTATTGGAACAGGACTTGACTCTTGACCTTTCTTGTATAGTAATGCTCCATTGGAGAAAAACCAATTGACTGAAGAAGGTAAGTATTCTTCATCAGAATGTAGATATAGAAATGGAGAGTAAGCTTGAAGTATTGCCTCGACTTGTTTCTCATTAGGCATGATTTTTGAAATAGAATTGAGATTCTTCAAACATGAAATAGATGGAGGGTTAAAATTCCCACCATTTTGTGTAATGAAGGTTCCGACGCGAACATCGGGAGCTTGAGTTCCTCTATTGATTGGCTTACCATCATATAAGTTGATGTCATTGGATCCCCATATCCATGAAGAAGACTCGCATTGGTTTGTCAGGTCTGATCTGACACACATGATTTTGTCGAGGGGAGGCTTGTCTGGTGTTGTGGTGACAACATGGCCTAATGCTTTGTAGCCATCAGGTGGTACTGGTAGCCAAATATACAAAGTGGAATCTTGAGTAGCCTTGATGGATGCAGTGTTTGATACAGTTGTGTAATCAACTGGTGGTTTTAAAGTGCTATTAGTGGTACTTGAAAAGACATTCTTTGCAACAAGAACATATCCAAAAAGAGGTTTGTTGTTGGGTTGGCTGTAGCTACCTAACATAGAGAATCCTTCAGGTATTCCAATTGGTTCGTATACTGAGGCGCCTTGATTGTCAAGGCCACCATCGTAAGCACCCCAAACTTTGAGAAATGTTGATGCTTGAGACACTTGTAGCCCACCTAGATCAAGAATTCCACCTGCAAAACCATTACCTGCATTGTATGTGGCAATTCAACAGTTGCTAATGTTAGACTCTTCATTCTGTAGAATATATCACAAGGTGAGAATGACATGTTGTGGATACCTTCTGGCCAAGAGGTTGGTGCAGTTGGAAGCTTGAATGTGTAGTCGATGGGGCGAGAGCGGGACGGGGGCCGGGATCGCCTTTTCTTGAAGATATTCTTATTCTCTGCAAACAAAAGCATGTGGTAAGATAATTACATGATGGGTTAATGCAAGGAGAATAAGGTTATTTCCACATATAAATGTGAACAGAACAGAACAGAACAAACATGGCAAACCTTAAGCAAGCATTAAGCAAACTAAAAACTAAAAAAGAAACAAGGTGTAAAGCAAAAGTTTCAGAGAAGAAAAGTACCTAAAATTGAATCCATTGGTGCAGCATTAGGAACAACCTCTATTGCTTCAATTGCCATGAAAAGCACAAAACAAACACAAAGAATCCTCACACTCACACCCATTTTTATAATCACTTCCTTCTTCCACACACTCACAAACACCCCAGATCTCTCTTTATGTTTTTTATTCTCACCCTTGAAAGTTGTAAGACTTTTGATTATAATGAAGTTAGCAGAAAAAGCACAAAGGTGTTAGTAGTGGTTGATATTGTTAAGTAATCACATCTGCACTATAAATATAAGTGGGTTGTGTTGGATTTTGAGTTAGATCCACTCGTTGTGTTTGTTGTGTTGTGATGTTTCTCTTTATTAAATTGGTTTTCTTTTTTCTGAAAAAGTATGGCATTATTATTATTTTGCTCAACTCTCATTTCCCATTTTTGGTTGCGATGGTTCTTTGTCTGTTTCTTTAATATGTTTTTAATTGAACTACTTTTTGTTTTTTCTTGAGTATCGTATTGTCCCTTTCATTAAGGCTGAATCACGGGTAAAGGTAAAGAGTATATCATGGGACGAATAGTATATATTACTTTAATATTTAAATATAATTTAAGTTGCGTTTGTCCAACTCTAATTAGGACCGTATATAAATAATAGTTATAGTGTGTATTTTTATTTTGTATAATATAATTAAAGTGAATAATATAATTCTTATTTCTTTTATTATTATCTTTCTCTCTTTATTAAAAGTGTCTCACGCACTAACGAATTGATATCCAGAGTTTCTGATTATTGTTCTTGATCGAGTTTTCAAGAACTTTGCGTCAAAGATCGTGTTTCTAGGACAAGTGAATCAACCACTGCGGAGATGGCTAGTGATAAGGGCATTCCAGATTCTCTTCCGATGCTTGACGGAAAAAGTTGAATCTGATGGAAAAAACAGGTGCAATCCTTATTTGGCTTCCATGAAATCTTAGAAGTGGTTACCAATAGCATTCATGTGTTGGCTGCAGATGCAATTGAATTCCAGAAAATTGCCCGCAACAAAGTCAAGAAGAAAGATTGCAAGGCTGCTTATTGCATTCAGACGATGATCGACGCTGTTAACTTCGACATGATTTCTCATGCTGAAACGGCGAAGGAGGCATGTGATATTTTGGTGAAGTATTACAAAGGAGGTGAAAAAGTCAAAGTTGTCAAGTTACAAACCTATGAGTTATTATCGATAGGAGAAGACGAAAAAGTTATAGAATAAATGTCGAAGGTTCAGAAACTCGTCCATCTCATGAAGGGTTGTGGTGAACCCATAACTGATAAGATTATAGTTGAGAAGGTAATGAGAACGTTGACCTCTCACTTTGATCACGTTATCGTAGCTATTCAAGAATCTAATAATTTTGAAACCCTAAAAGTAAAAGATTTGGTTGGTTCGTTGGAGGCGCATGAGATGAGGATTTTCGAAAGGAAAGAAGTTTAGGACTCGATACAAGCAATATAAGCTCAATCATGGAAAAGGAATGATGATTCCAATAAGTTTAAAGGTAATATCGACAAGACTCAAGGAAAGAAGTCTTGGTTGAACCCTCATAAGCATCAGGTCAGAGACAGAGCTTCTGAATCCTCGAAAAGATAAAGAGGAAACTATCGAAAGGACAAACAAGATAAAAAAGGTGTGCAGTGCTATAGCTGTGAAAAGTGGGGTCACGTAGCCAAGAATTGTTGCTACGGAAAAGAAAAGGGATCGACAAAAAAGGATGAATGAGTAGGGGTGGAAATAGGTCAGACCGACTAACAGGGGCCTACGGCCTAGCCTACACAGGCCAAGGCCAACCAGGATTTTTTTAAGTAGAAAAGGCCTAGGCTTTTTTATAAGCCTATTTAGTTAAATATGATAGGCCGCAGACCCTAAAAAAGCCTTTAAAGCCTATCAGGACGACCTATTATGATAAATATCAATAAATTTATTATTTTTTATATTGTATTTTATATTTTATATCAAAATATAAAAGTAAAGTTTAGTTATCTTGAAGAACTTGTGAAAATAAGTTAAAAAAACTTTAGGAATAATGACATAAGTTGTTTTCATAAGTTCTCACAAACAAATAATTTCACAAAACTTATGCTACTATATAAGCTTAAATAAGTCAATGTAAACAAATATTTAGTCTCATTATACTTTTGATTATGTACTATATTTAAACATTAGTTGAATTGCTTATTTACATATGTTTAAATGATATATGCTTTTTAAGCAAGCTAATAGGCTAACCAGGCCTTCGAAAAGGCCAGGCTCAAACTGAAAAATAAGCCTATGATAGACCACATGTCAGGCTTAGGCTTCGAATTTTTTAGCAGGTCAGGCTTGGCAACGCCTAGCTCAATGTAACACCCTATAATACCACATATCATAAATAGCATAATCAGAGTAAAATAACATGCATCTCAAAGAGGGCGTCACATTTTGAATTCACAAAATATCCAAGAAATTCAAACATGCATACTGATCATGATCATAACATGTATTCAAACTTCATGTTTTCAAAATCATGCACATCACAGTGGAATAATTCTTTACTCAAATAATAATAATAATAATAATTATTATTATTATTATTATTATTATTATTATATCCCATACTATAATCATAAGTTCTCATAACAAATCATGGATCTAAAATCATTAGGCATTGAGGCCACTCAACATAAACTCTCAACATACAATTCAAATAAGAGAAATAACAATATCTCTTCAAATAAACACGAGTTCAAAATCCCCCGTGTTACATGGACTAGAGCAATGACTCACTACCTAGGGATAAACGGATAGATAAGGATCTAACTCCTCTGACTAATCCTGGCAAGTATCACCGCTATCCTCGGTACCTGGGCGATGTCGCATAGAACATCATTACAATAGAAGGGTGAGAATTCACATCATTATGGATATATATATATATATATATATATATATATATATATATATATATATATATATATATATATATATATATATATATATATATATATATATATATATATATATATATATATATATATATATATATATATATATATATATAATATAAACAATATATATAACACGCATACATTTCAAGAATTCATCACACTTTGTATAATTATCTATACAACATGGCTTCACCAATACAAGTACCAAGACAATTATATCTAAGTAGAATAATTCACACAATCATCACATACATTGCAATCATCATCAAAGTCACGGTTAAACCAATTATCACACACATTACGCATTCAAAGCAAAACATCACATAATAAAAAACGTGACTGCAATGCGACTCAATGCGACTCATGCACGTGGTACCATCGTGAACATCAAGTTCACCTTGCTCCCGATTCAATATTTAGAACCAGGCCACGCTTCCGATCCAGAAAAGACCAAAGCCCACCAATATGAACATATAATTCACTACTTCTATTTCCACACAAGGATCAAAGAAACCAATATGAACATATAATTCACCGCTTCTATTTTCACATAAGGATCAAAGCAACCAACCGGAGTTTAATCTCCCTATGCATGCATGTGCAAACATAACCAATCATATGCAAATTAAGATTATCAGAAAACCTTAATCATACTGCATATCATAATAATCCATCAAAATGAATTATCCACCGTTGCACAAACACACATATATCATCAACACAATACAATCATATAAAATTCATCAATCACACATATCACGAATAGCAAACAATGCCAAAACATGTTATTTCCATTCACCGTCCACTCATGACACATAAAAAATAATATCAAAACTATTATTCCAATCATCCAATTCCAACAAACCTAGTTCTATCTTATAGTTTATTATGTTAGCTTTCTAACGATTCGAACGGCGCCTAAAACGCAGTTACGATTCAAATGTTATGGTCATTACAAAATTTGCCAGAAAACTTGTTGTATGAGTCGACGCAAAACCCAATATGAGTCGACGCAAAGAATGAGTCGATGCAAAAGAAATATGAGTCGACGCAAAACTGAGTGACAACACTTCTTTGCCTGGCGGGTTATCTCGCGCCGACCCCCCTTCAGTTTGAGTCGACTCAAACTTCTAAAACATGGTTTTTTTTCTGCATTTTAACTTAATTTTCACACGATTTTTCTTATCAAAAACACTACCCATCACTACAAAACATCATGTTTGCCAATTTTATCAATAATCCATCATCCTAACATGAAGGTACTCATTATATTCCATTCAACAGATCAATTTCTATCAAATCCATAGATTTCTATACAAACCATAACATGTGAGAGTTAGATCTTGAAATTGAAAATCAAATCACACCTAGCATGTTACTACCCATTACATACCATACACACCCATAATAATAAGGATTCTCCCCCCTTACCTCTTGAAGATTCACCTCTAGGTTTTGCCTCTTATCTCTTCCTCTTTATCCTCTTCTCTTCTTGTTCTTCTCTTCTTTTCACAAAATGAGAGTTCTAATCTATCATCTCTGATAACCCTTACTAACTATAGTTCTCTTATTGGGCTTAGTAATTCACACCTCCTTATTAATTATATTTCTCATTATTAGGCTCAATTAGCTATTTTCTATTCTTACTTATAAACTCAATTATTCAAATAACACATATATTCTAATAATTCAAATATTCACCATATCACACAATTAAATTAATTACCATAAAATATAATAATTAATAAAATAATTAAATAATACTAAATATAAATCGGGATGTTACAACTCTCTCTCACTAAAAAGATTTTCGTCCTCGAAAGCTACCTCAAACGAATAACTCAGGATACAAATCCTTCATCTGACTCTCAAGTTCCCAAGTCACATTACCATATGCCGATCCTCCCAAACCACTTTTACCAAAGAGATTTCTTTACCTCGAAGTTTCTTCACTTCCCTATCCTCCATCTGCATAGGTGATGTCTCAACGGTCAAATTATCCCTTACTTGCACATCATCTAATTGGACAACATGGGACGGATCTGCAAGGTATTTCCTCAACTGAGATATATGAAACACATCATGAAGATTAGCAAGTGATGGTGGAAAAGAAATCTGATATGCCACTTCACCTACTTTCTCAGAAATCTAATAAG